AGGGCGCTGGAGCAGGAGCTGCGGGCGGCAGTGGCGGCCGAAGAGAGGTGGGAGAGGGAGAACGAGGCCAAGCTGCGGGCCGTGCACCAGCGCGTCCCCTCCTACGAGGAGTTCAGGTCTGTTGGGGGGTGCCTGGGGCAGGGGGTGGATTCGGGTGCTTCCCTACCCCAAAGCGCTTCGTCAACACCGAGGCTTTGCTCGGTGCTGGGCGCTCCTGCCACGGGGCCAACCCAGCCTCACGGGCAGGTTTTGGATCTCCAGTTTTGGCACCTCTTAAGAGACAAGGTCACCCAGTGGGTTTTGAGCTCAAGCCTTGCTCTGAGAGGGGATTGAGCCCTTTATCTGTGCGTTCTGCTCCAGGTGACCATGAGCGTGTCTTGACAAGACAGCAAACCTGGCTTTGGGATTCCCAAAAAGGCCACAGCCCTGTGGCACAGAGCCTTGGTGGGACAGAAACTCAGAAACTTGTTTAAGATTTGCTCCTCAAAAAAGATTGATGTGTGGCGAGTAAGATCTCAGATGTTCCAGCTGGTAACAGCCAGCTCCAAAGCAGGTCCCCATCGTGCCCAAGCTGTAGATCAGCGATGGGATGGCACACTGTCCTCTCACCATGTTCCTGGGCGCAACACCCACCCTCCAAGTCCCATCAGCCTGCCCTGCTCTCCCTTTCCTCCCCACACACCCCATGCCATGGTGGTGGTGCAGAAGAAGAGGGTGATGGGTGTCCTCGTGCACCCCACCCAGCATGTTCATGCTCCCAAACCCGTCGCTGCTTTGTCCAAGGTGGTTTGGGAGCAGTTTTGTGGCCCAGGGATGGCAGGGATGCTCTGCAGAGGCAGTACAGGGCACTCCCAATGCCCACCAAAGTCCTGGATCCACCTATAGATCCATCTGGGGAGGCCCCTATTCCTTGACATCCACAGATGGATCTGTAGGTGGATCCAGGAATTTGTCCATCCCTTGGTAGACATACGGAACTAGATCAAATCCCATTCACAGCTTCATCTCTTCCTGCATTTGGTCATGCCGTCTGATCCCTGAAAGGCAGGAAAAGACTTTAAAATGGTATTTTTGCTCCCAGTCTTCTTGCCAGTCCCTATAAAAGGATTCCCAAGTGATTCCAAGCTGTTTTATCAGTGTATTGGTAACGGTAGAAGGAATCTGAGGGAGGTAGTGGAGCAGCTTCTCTCTGTGGGTGCATCATCTTCACTCATGTAGCCCACGCTAGCATAGGAGCAGGGGCTGGACCATTATTGGGAGAACTAACTACAGGGATTCATCCCACGGGATGAGAGGAATCATGTGAGCCACTGAGTCTGGGCTGCTGTAACCAGTCGCAGATGTCTGTGTAATAAGATGCTGAATTCAAATGAATCCACAAAAACGTACCTACCCAGCACACTGCAAGCTACAAAACAGTCCTTAGGTGCTGTAAGAATTTAGACTCTTTCCTCTGGAAGTCCAAAAGCCACAGAAACTTCAGTGTACTGTAAGAAAAAGGCAGGAGGAAACAACATCCTGCCAGTTCCTTGGGCTCTGGAGGAACTGTTGGGTGGGAATGCTCAGCTCCTGGGGAGCGAGCCATTCCCTGTGCTGGGGAGGAACCATGGTGCTGCAGCCTACAGGGAAATTCCTGCCTCGTGTCCTGACGATTGGATTAACCCTGAGTGTATGAGGAGGATGTGCCTGTCAAGTGCCCCATGCAATATCTTCTGTTTTCCTCTGACCCATCTCTGATGCTTCATGACCTCATTTGAATCTCGATTTTGTTTGATAGAATCGCAGAATGGTTTAGGTTAGAAGGGACCTTGAAAGATCATCCAGTCCAACCTCCTGCCACAGGCAGGGACATCTGCCACTAGACCAGGTTGCTCAAAGCCCCATCCAACCTGACCTTGCACACTTCCAGGGATGGGGCATCCACAACTTCTCTGGGCAACCTGGTCCAGTGTCGCACCACCCTCATCATAAAAATATTTCTTCCTAATGTCCAATCTAAACCTGCCCTCTGTCAGTTTAAAACCGTTGTCCCTTGCCCTGTCACTACAAGCCCTGGTAAAAAGTCTTTCTCCGACTTTCTTATCAGCCCCGTTAAGTCCTGGAAGGCTGCAGTAAGGTCTCCCCGGAGCCTTCTCTTCTCCAGGCTGAACAACCCCAACCCTCCCAGCCTGTCCTTATAGCAGAGCTGTTCCAGCCCTCAGAGCATTGCTGAGGCTTCCTCTGGCCCCGCTCCAACAGGTCCATGTCTCTCCTGTGCTGAGGGCTGCAGAGCTGGATGCAGCACTGCAGGGGGGTCTCACCAGAGCAGAGCAGAGGGGCAGAATCCCCTCCATCACCCTGCTGGCCATGCTGTTTGGATGCAGCCCAGGATACAGTTGACCTTCTGGGCTGTGAGTGCATATTGCCAGCTCATGGCCAATTTTTCAACCACCAGTACCCCCAAGTCCTCGTCAGGGCTGCTCTCCATCTCTTCATCCCTGAGTCTGTACTGATATTGGGGTTTGCCCCAACCCGGTGCAGGACCTTACACTTGGCCTTGTTGAAGTTCATGAGGTTCACATGGGCCCACTCCTCCAGCCTGTCCAGGTCTCTCTGGATGATACGTACAGCCCAAACTCAGAAATCGCCTCGGAGGAGGAGCCCGAAGCCTCAAAGTATTTGATCTTGCTATAAGTATCCCATCCCCTTCTTGTTACCTGCAGGAACATTGTGCTGGCATCACACCTGAAGCCCCTAGAGAAAAAGGACAAGATGGGTAAGAGGAGGAACGCGCTGTGGAATCCCTGTGCAGCCCATGCCAAGGCCCCGCAAGCCAGCGACATGGAAATACCCCTGGTGAGGAACATGCTTTGTGGGACTTCGTCCACATCTAAAAATTACTCCAGAATAATTTGGGTATTATTTTAAAATGCAAGAGTTGTTCAGAAATATCTCTGCATGTGAGCAAGCCCTCAAAGTCCCCAGGAACATTGGTGTTTAGATAACCACAGGGTTCAGTCTTGGCCCCCCCTTTGCATTTGATAAGAGCTTGCACCGGCTGCTTCAACAAGACTCTGCGTCAGCCCTGTGGGAATCTAAGAGCAGCTGCACAGCGTCAGACCAGAGCTCCCAATACCCTGCCTCTGATGGTGGCCAGTAACAGATTCTTGGGGAAGAGTGCCCTCCCTTGACCGCACTCTTCCAGCTGGCTGCAGTTTAGAGACCGAGCGCCAGGGCTGTGCATCTGGATCATCACGTTTAATAGCCACAGACCGCAGATCTTCTGTGAATGTAGCCAATTTTCCACCCCGTGGTTTAATTATGCATGATATGGGAAAGTGCTATGTAGTTTTAAAACCTGCTGCCTGATGAGTTCACTGGATGCTACTTGGTTCTTCAGTTGTGGGAAACGGTGACTAAACATTTTCTATCCAGGTCATTTGTGATTTGAGTGACATCTGTCCTGCCCCCTCCAGTGGATTCTGCCCATGCTAGAGACTCCTGGTCACTGGACCTGTAGCTGGGCATGTTTCCCATGGATGTTTTTCTCATGGATTTTTTTGATACTGAATTTCATTTACCTATTTATTATGAGATCTTTTTGCAACTCTTCTAGGCAGCTTTGTGTTTTCCTGGACTGAGCAATGATGTCCCCAGAGCAAATTCTGTTCCTAATCCTGTTAGCACTTGGGCTCTGATCTCCAGGGCTTCTCCATTTTGTGTTTAGACACAGCCTGATGTTGCTGTGCCTTGTTCTCGCTGTCTGTATAAAAGCCTAAACATTTTAATCCTCCTTCAGCCTGTGCATCAGTTAAGTCAGTGGTGATGAGTTCAGCAGTTCAATTACACATTGTATAAAACAGGATTTCCTTTTATCTGGAGATGCCACATTGAGCTTGGCTCTCTTCTAGTGCAAGCTCTCTGCCACAGACTCATATGAATGTGGTATGTTACAAGATGGTGTGTTAGGACCATCTGAATATTTTCTGGGTTTTACATCTCATATCTTTTATCTCCTCACTCCTCTGATTTGCCTCACAGTACTCCTCTGGAGCAGAGGTTTTCACTGCACTACCCCGATCTCCAGGAGACCCTTTCCTGAGCAGAGGTGGTGGATCCAGACTGGGCAGCATGTCTGGTTCTGGTCAGGGCTGGGGTTACTCTACTACTGGTCTGTGTTCAGCTGGGTTTCATCTCTCATCCATTCTTCCATTATTTTCCCCTGAACTCCTCTAGTTTCTGTAGGGCTTGAGGGACCTGGTATTTCTTTGTCTTTATGTTTTCTCACCTCACAAGCTTTATGCAGCCCTTTTTGCTACCAAAGCCTGTATTTATATTTATATAAAAAACATCTCAACCATCCACGGGTTGATCGGGGGGAGCGGATAAAAGTCTTCCAGTGGGAACAAAACAAAAGGAACTGGGTAACTGTTTTTTCCTTCAGGAACTGGATCAACTGCCCAGAACCTCTGCTGAATTTTACAGAGATTGGCGCCGATGTTTAAAAAGCAGAAAAGAAAAATACCAGTTTTTGCTTGAACTCGGAGGGAAGGCCTTGGGCAGAATCTTTCAGGCTGACTTGGGCTTTGGCCTCCTGGGTGAATTCCTTACGGTGCTGGCAGAGAATGTCTGTCATGAAGACAGAGATGCCATCCTTCAGATCTTACAGAGCCTTTCAGGCACCAAGCGCTTCGGGTTAAATGTGGATCTTCTGAGTGAGTCAGAGAAGGAGAGCAGCAGGGATTTGTTTAAGAAGCTGCAGAGCCTGAGCAGGGATTATTGGACCACTGGCCATCCCGGTGGCCCAGCCGACTGCGAAGCAGAGAGGGAAGCCCATGTCACAGACACCAGCTTGCAAAAGGAAGCCAAGGAAAGGATAGTGATGGAGCTGATGAAATGTTACCAGGTCAACTGAAGGAGCACTAGGGTCCTGCAGAAACAGAGTGCAAAAGAGGCTCAAAACTTGACTTTTGGCATCTGATGTTGCACAAGACAGATAAACCCGATACTTCTAGAGTGTTGCTGTACACTTCTCTGTGCCTGGGAGCCACCCAGAGCAGTAGTTCTGCACAAATAAAGGTTAGTTACTGAGAGCTCTGTGTTGTGATCTGTGGGGCAGGGTGTCTTCACAGAACAGCTGTCTGAATCTCTTAGATGAGGAGAACAAATGAGGAAAAGAAAAACTAGGCGGGTATTTTTGAAAGAGAAACCAAAACCTAAATAGTCCCTTCCCTTATTCATGCCTGTCCATTGTCACTGTGGAGTTTTAAGAAATGTAATCAATGACACTTTATGTTTAACCTTGCAGCCACTGAAGGTAGAATGGGCTGATGGAGGTGGAAGTGCTCTGCAAGGCAGTATATCTGGGACTGATCCAGCCAGCTACTTTATTATCATTCTACCCCAGTGAGCAAGGTGTGGGGTAAACCTTAGAGATCCTGTCACCTCGTGACCCTGTGATCTCAGACGCTGAGTTGCTGAAATTCCACATAAATTGAAATTTAGAAGGAACTGACGGGCATCAGTCCAACAAAGAGACTCTCCAGGACTGCCTAATACTGTGTCTAAATTGAGTAGCCTTTCTGTTTTGGCTGCAGATGTCAGAGGCCCTCATATGGCACAGCTCAGCACCTACCCACCAAGCTTTCTTGCAGTGCTGGTCTGGGAGGATCCTCAAGCTTCTCCCAACGGTGCTGAGGAGCCCAATGTATGTTACAGTGCTCAGACTCCCTTGCATTCAGTTCAAAAACAACTGTCAAGTCCGTTTAGTTGCAAAACCCAACTAGAAGAGCAAAAGGTAGAGTCACCCTGGCAGACTATAACCGTCGCCCTCCCACCTCTGTAGGCACCTAATTGAGCGTTCTCTGAGGCCTGGCACCTGAATGTTGGTGGCTTTATGGCATCTGTCTTGGGGACATCTGTGTCCCTGCAATCTGTTGTGGGTGCCATTCCTTTTGCCTTTGAATAACACTTGCAAACCTGAGGACTGCAGAAAGCTGAGAGCTGAAGTCTTAAACAAAACAACGAATATCCTGGAGTTTCCCAAGGTCTGGGTGGAGGATGTTGATGCAGGAACAGCCCTGGCATGACCGTTACAGCACTGGTGGGAACAGGCACAGTGCTTTCACCAGTCCAGAGGCTCAGGGCTTGCACTGCATCCTGTGTCAAGGGTGGGAGAGCCTGCTGCATCCCCAACACTTGGGGAAAGGCAAAATCCCTGTGGTGCGGTGAGAGGACTCAGGAGAAATGAAGTACAGGATAGGCTGTGTGAATGTTTATGGGAGGACAAGCTGTTAGACCAGCTGGGATCAGTTTCCCAACCAGTCAGTTCATGGTCTGACCTGAGCATCTGCTAAAGAAGTGTCAATAGCCGAGCTGAAGGTCCAGCCAGAGTCAGTGGCAAGCAAAGAGCTCATCTTCACCGTGGCAGAGGTGCATTTAAGGCCTTCAGGCCTGGTTCCAGCATCGGCCCAGGCTAGGGTGATGTCAACAAAAAGCCTTGCTTGAGCACTCAGAGACGGGGAGTCTCAAACATTACCTGTGTGGAGTGGCTTCAGCACACAAACCCTTGGAAAGCCAACCAGGGGGAGTTTAAATACCATGTTTGAAACCTCTTCTTCTGGGTTACGGAGGTCAGCTGCTGTCAGAGGAGAGTCTTCTCTGGGTTCATTGTGCTTAGAGGGTTCAGAGCAATAATTAACATTTACTGTCTTTCAAGAAGATGGCAGCAGTTTGTTCCCATCACGCTTCCCATCTCTGCATCTGCCCTCCGTGGCTGTGCTGCACAACCAACCTGCCCACTTGTTGTCTGGGCCATGGACAACACCACTCTAGAGCAGCTGGCAGAGAGGAAAGGTTCTAGAGTCCGTGTCCCGGGGGACAGCCTGCCCCTGGGGGACGCAGAGTGCTTCCCAGGAGATATTCAGCTGCGATGGGATATTTCAGCTGCTGTTTGATCGCTGCTGTCAGCCCCATGCACTGCAGGCAGGGAGTCATTTGCAAACCCCATCTTTGGTGAGTGAGCTTGTGAGTGCATCATCCCTGCCTAGCGCTAGCACTGCTAACCCCATGCGTGGGTTCCTGCCATCCCCATGAGGATGTGGTGGCTGGTTAGTTCTGCTGGCTGCAGAAACCTCCTGGTATGATAGAGATGAGGCTGCTGGGAGCTGCCATTCTCCTCTGCCTGGTAGATGTTCTTCATGCTTTTGCGATTGAAGAGAAAGGAGATGTGTTCAAGAGAATGGCTTGTCCTGGTTTCGTGATGTTCGACAACGCTGCTTACTTGGCTGACATGACTTTTGAGCTCCCTTGTAACTGCAAGCCCGAAGAGGTGTCTTCTGTCATCTGGTACTTCCAGAAGAGCATGGGCAGCCATGAAACCACAGTCCTGACGGACTTTGCCGGCACCGTGTTTGTTGACTCGGGCCATATCCATGCGGGCAGCAATATACTGAAGCGTTTCAGTATCCGGATGTTCAGTCTCATTGTCTTCCGAGCCCAGGTGACGGACTCGGGACACTACCTGTGTGGCACTAAGAAAGGGGACTTCTTTTATGGCTACGACGTGGACGTGCAGCCCACCAAACACATCACGGTGGCTTTTCTGGACAGAGGCCAGCACGTCCAGGACGACTACACAGAGAAGCTCTTCAGCCTCTTTACCACCTTCTGGGACTGGACCAGATGTGACCGCTGTGGGGTGAGAGGTGAGCAGCGGCGGATCGGGCTCTGCTATGTGCGGAGCATCCAGCTGCACCCCCGATACCGTGCCGCTGTGCCCAACGTCACGTCCTGCGGCTCAAGGGCTGTCCCTGCACATTTCCAGCGCCTCCACCGCCTCCGGAGACCAGAGGTGGCCATCCGAAGCTGCCTGACCCCTTGCCTGAAGGAGGAGGTCCCCAAGGAAGGTGTGCAGGCCATCTCCAATGTCATTTCCAAATTGGGTGAGAAGCCATGGCTGCCCCGCGTCCCCACACAGTTTCACAAGCAGCCCGTTGGAGTTGGCCTGATCATCGCATGCCCAGGAGCCCGGCCCGAGCACGCTGTGGCCTGGGACAAGGACTCTGTCCGGCTCTACCGCTCTCACTACCTTGTTGGTGTCAACAAGAGCATGCGGGTCTTCATCGACCACGGAAACCACCTGCACATCCAGCAGGTCCAGGTCAGTGATAGAGGCACCTACTTCTGCTGGCGAGAGGGAGAGATGGTGGCCGGCTTCCGGCTCAGCGTGATCTACCAGCACCAGCGCCGGCAGATACTCAACGATCCTGAGACAATCTATGCTGTCAAGGCCATTGGCATGAGCTACATCGTCATCAGCATCATCTTCGTCATCATCCACATGTACCGCTGCTGCCGGCAGGTGCTCAGGTGCCCTGCCAGGACATAGCATCTCCACCACAGCCCCAGGAAGTCACTGTTACACCTCAGACCATCCTGTTAGAGATTTCTGGTGTTCTGACCATTGGAAATCAAAATTCTGCCAGTGCCTGCTCATCTTCCCTTTTGGGTCGAGAGTGTGACAGCAAGGACCAAAGCAGAAAACTCCCCATGCTGCAGATTGGTAACGGCTTAGTAGGGGCAGGCAGGGATTTCACACCACCATGGTTTGTTTCTGGCTCTGCCGCTGGCTTGCGGTGGGATTTTAAGCTCAGTATAGTCCCTTTCAAAAGAATACTTGGAGCTGTTGCAGGATTTTCTGGCCAAGCTCTACAGAGTTCTTGAACTGCACCAGTGATTTATTAGAGTTGTTTTTCTAACAGGCTGCTAAAAAGATCCACCAAACTATTTTAATCCAATCAATTCTTGCTTTTCTTACCCTTTTGTTTTACTTTTTTTCATTGCTAGGAACATTGCTGAGTGCCAACTTTTCAAAACTTTCAATGTTCCTTTGAGCTCCTCAGCTGGAGCAAACCCATTGTTTCAAATTTTGGTTTAAACATTTTTTCATTTTTGAAGGAAAAAAAAAGCATTCAAATTAATCTGATTATTTTCTTCAGAAATTTCTGTGGGTTTTGGTTGGTTTTTTCACCTCACCTGTCTTAGCACAGACTTGTGAGTCAATATCTATGCCTGACAAAATTATCATGCATGTCCTCCAAAGAGGATGGCATCTCTACAGGGTTTAGGTGGCCACTTGCTTCCTCCTCAGTGTGGACCAGGAATTCCCCACGGGGCTCCTGTTCACTCCTTTTTTCAAGGATGTGGCTTGGGGGATTTCAGCTTTTCCAAGAGAAATCCCGCTGTCTGGGAAGTGGCCCTGAGTGTCCCAGCCATGCTCAGGCACTTGAACCACGTAGGTGATGTGCAGGATCTCAAATCCACCATCAGTCCTGGCAGCTGCAGCCCACACCAGGAGCTTCCCCAGAACCGCAGCCTGGGTTTGTGCCGGGAAAGAGCTGGGTTAGAGGTTGAAGAACACCGAGCACATCCCTGCTTCCCCTCTCTCCCTCCCTCCTGGGAAGGAAATCTCTCCCACCTCACTGCCTGGCTGACAGCTCTGGGGAGGTTATTCCTGCACCCACCTCCCCTGGATTGCAGTCCTTTATGGGTGTTGACCCATGAAGCATTGGCCATGCCTTGGGGCACAGTGCTGAGCTTGAGTCCCCCAGTGACTTTGAGCCTGATTTGGGCTCCCAAAGGGCTTTGCTTCCCCAGCTAATCCCAAATAACCCACGGCACTGGCTACAGAGAGGCGGACTGCAGGCACAACTGTGGAAGTACAGCATTTGCTTTAGCTTTATTTCTTGTTTCATGCTGCCACGGGCGTTAGTGCATTAATTGAGTAGCGACGTGGGCTGCAAAGCTCCAGCCGGAGGCTGGTCACAGAGGACTGAGCCCCTGGGCCACCACCATCCCACCTTGGATGCCAAACCTGGACAGCACCCGGGTCTCATACAACATCTCCTGCCCCAGGAACGGCCTTTCTGGAGTCGGTAGCTGAAAGCATGCTCAGCACCTGAGCCAGGGGACAAGGGGGACAGAGGCGACGAGGGGGATGGCATCCAAGTGGCATCCCATGTGCTCATCCCAAAGGGCTTATGGGGTACGGGAAGTGCTGCTGGGTTGTTGCTCCTATGTTAGGTGGCATCAGGGCAGGTTTTGCTTGTGGTCAGTAGCTAAACGGAAGGTGGGGATGGGGGCTGCGGGCAAGCTCCGGGCTGGGCGGTGGTCCAGGGTGGACTGGTGGCATGTGCTGGTCTGGGGAAGCACTGGAGGACGGATGAGGGGACAGGGCTACATGGAGCCCGGGGACAAGGGACTTCTTCTGACCCCATCTTGAATGCCCATGCCAGGGGTGGGCTTGGGCTCCATGCATGGTGGGGATCATGATGGGGCAGCCCTGGTCCCTGGCTCCCCCGCTCCTAGTGAGAGCCCAGGTGGGACAGGCAGGACAAGGGTGGCTCCAACTGTCCTCCCCTGCCACTGCTGGGGCATGGGAGGCACCTCCTGCTGTGACAGCACCCGCGGGTGCCCCAGCACCCTCCTCTTCCTCCTCCTCTGCACTCCCCTCCTCTCCACTTTCATCTGCATGGGACCCACTCAAGGCGAGGGGCCAGGCTTATGGCTGCGGGTCACCCCTCACCACAAGCACCTCGAGACTGCTCTTCCTCACCATGGCAATGGGGACACCTTGCTGGCAGGAACCCCGTGGGGGTCAGCACAGCCCCAAAACTCTGTACCAGGAGAAGCCCTTGAGGCCACCCAGCCTGCTGTGCCCACCACTTCTCCAGCTCCACAAACCACCCTGGACATCCCAGCATCCCCAGGAATCCCTCGTTACCCCCATTTCATCACCCTTTGATGCCATCCCAACAGCACCCTGCCTCTCCATCCTCCCCTTCCTCCTGCCTGTGCCTCCTGGCTAAGCCCACCCAATGCTTGGTCATGGGGAAATGTCCCTCACCAGCCCGTACCTTGCACCCTGCAGCCCCCCCACCCCAAGGGTGCTCAAGGCCTGGGTGCACTGGGGAGATTTGGGGTGGTCTCTCAGACCAGAGAGTGGGCAGTGAGGTGGGATGCAGGGAGAGATGCTCTCGGCACTGTTGGCCTTGTCCGACCAGTGCATGGAGATCGAAACAGGGTGGAGCCTCTCCCTGGGCACTGGTGAGCTGGAGACCCAGGGCAGGCACTGGCATGGCCCCAAAACTGCCGGCCCCTCTGTGCCATGGGAACGCAGCAGCATCCTAGCAGAGGACGCAGCTCTGCCTGGTACTGTGCTCTTCCCCGGGTATTGCCCCTCAGACGGGTGCTTTGCCACCCGCCCCCCCCAAACAGGGTGTCAGTGGTCCCTGGAGCCCGGGGCAAGGTGGGATACGTGAGGGGTGGGGGGCGGGGAGATCCCCCGCGCTGAAGCACCGCCGATTCCTCCCACGACCCGTGCCTGGCCACAGGGCTCCCTCGCAGCATCGGACAGAACCTACAGAGCTACGGCTACAAGCATGCGGCTGCTGCGGCTTGCCCGCCCTACGCCACCTCCTTGTGCTCCTGCTTGGACTCCTTGATCACCTGGAGGCAGAGGGAGAGGGACCATCACCCCGGGCTCAGGCTCTCCTCCCCGCTGAGCCTGCCTGGGCCCTGAACCAGCTTGGGGACAGGGACAGGGAGGGGGACAGGTACGGTTTTCTCTAGGAGCTGCCAGGCTCAGCTCCACCATGGTCCAGAGCCAGGTGATGCCGTGCTAGCACGGCACTGGGATCACTGGTTCCCTGCCTGGGCTGCTCCTGGGGCTGAGTGGTGGCCCCATGTGCACTACAAGTCCCCCTTGGGGACACCCAGTGGGGAGGCGGGCGTGGAGGGAAAGCAGCATGGCTGACCCAGATGAGGACTTCCCACCTCTCCATCTCTGGTCTCCACAGTTTTGACCACGATGCTTCTCTTCAGGTGGGCCTCTGACATGGATTTAGTGTCCAAGCTGGTCTCTAGGGGACATAAGCAGGACATAGTGGTGACCCAGTGCCTGGGGTATGGCCCCTCCCTCCATGCTCAAGTGGAAGGGCCCAAAGGGAACAGGTTGGGCTGGAAAACCCTGAGCCATGGTAGACAGTGGTTCTGGGGACATGACCAGCCTCAGGGACACTTGGCCTCAGGGATATGGCTGGCCTTTGGGATGCGGTCAGGGATGTGGTTGGCCTTGGGGATGTGGCTGGCACCGGGAAATGATCAGCCTTGGGGACACAGTTGGCACTGGGGTCATGATTGGCCTTGGAGATGTGGTTGGCCATGGTGATATGGGTAGCTTTGGGATGTGACTGGGCTTGAGGACAGGGCTGGCCTTGGGGACGCAGTTGGCAGTGGGGACACAACTGGCCTTGGAGATGTGGTTGGCAGTGGGGACATGGTGATGTGGTCAGTCAGTCTTAGGGACATCACTGGCCTTGGGGACATGCTCGGCTTTGGGGATGTGGCCATGTCATACTCCTCCCCCCATCTCGGGAGAACCCAGGAGTCCTGGTTCCCTGAGGTTCAGAGGAAAACCTCCCGGTCCCGCTGGATGGGGCAGGGACAGCCGAGATGGCGTCTCCTCCCACAGAGCCCCCAGAAGCCACCCCTGCCACGGCCTCACCTCGGATCTGCAGGTTGGAGAAGCTCTGCACGGGGATGGTGATCCTGAGGGAGCAATGGGGGGTGTTGGGAAGAGCATGGGGTCCTGCTACCCACCACCCACCACTTCACCCTGCCCAGAGCTGGGGCAAGAGGGCTGGAGGATGGTCTCCAAGCAGCTTGGACACTCCAGAGGGACCACAAGGACTTGGTCTTGGTTTGGGACATGGCTGGGGCTGAGGAGAGGAGCAGGATGGAGCCCCCGCTCTGCCGTCACCTGCTCTCCTCGCCCTCCAGCAGCTTGCGGTACGTGGCGATCTCAATGTCAAGGGCCAGCTTGACATTGAGCAGATCCTGGTACTCCTGCAGGTGCCGGGCCATCTCCTCCTTGAGACTGCGGATGTCCTCCTCCAGCCGCACCACCGTGTCCTGGTAGCCGGCTGTCTCCAGGGCGTAGCGCTCCTCCAGCTCCCGCAGCTGCCTCTCCAGGGATTCATTCTGGGGGGCCATGAGGGGACGTGACATCCTCTGTGGCCACTTTCTCCCAGGAGCTAGGGGCTCTCCATAGTGCCTATCCATCTCCCATCCTTGGGGACCAGCCATTTCCCCAGCTCTAGTTGGTGGTCCCCACCCCTGTGCCATGGATCCCCGTGGTGGTGGACACTTCCCGAGGCCATGTCTCCCCCCTTGTACCCCACAGCGGGCACCTACCGAACCCCGCAGAGCCTCCAGGTCACAGGTGAGGGCCTGGAGCTGACGCCGGTACTCGTTGGCCTCCTGCTTGGCCACGCGCAGGGCCTCCGTATGCCGGGCGGCTGCATCCGTCAGGTCTGCGAACTGGTGGGGGGACACGTGCCACAGGATGGGACCACACAGCAGGGATGTGTCCTGGTGGTACATGGCACGGGGACACGACCCTGCTCTTCTCCACAGAAGGGACGTGGCCCCAGTAGCACGTGGCATGGAGAAACATCCCTGCTACTGCAGAGTGGTGGGACGGTGCACGTGGGACGTGTCCCCAGTGCCCCGTGTCCCTGGGGACACGTCCCTGCTCCTGTGGCAGCCGGGTATGATGCACATGGGACAAGCACTTGATGTGGCACTGGGGACACATCTCGCTTCCTGCAGTAGGAAGGGACACGTGGGACATCCCCAGAGGCACATGTCCTGGGGACACAACCAGCTCCCACGAGAGGAAGGGACAGCACACACGGGACATGCCCACAGCGGCACGTGGTGCTGGGGACATGTCGCTGCTCCTGGGGGTGGAAGGAACAGTGCACGTGGGGCACGTGGCCGATGGCGCGTGTCGTGGAGGAATGTCCCTGCTCCCTTGGGGTGATGGGACAGTGGACAAGGGACATATCCCTGATGGCAGGGGGACATGTCCCTGCTCCTGCGGGACGGTGCACGTGGGCCATGTCACTGTGAACACAACTCTTCAGGGACCGTGCCTATGTGACTCACCACGGGGTCACGTCCCTTCTCCCCACGGGGACCAAACCAGAACACGGGACACAAGCGGGGACAGCGGGGATGCCGAACGCCATGCACCACCGCCAAGTAGAACCACCCAACCATGGGGTGGTCAACCCAGCCCCAAGAAGGTGACAGCCCGGGGGGGGACAGCCA